TGTGGTTTCTCTTTTGTTTTAATCCCAAAGGAACCCTCGGTAAAATGTTCAGGTCTCAGGGAACGCCTAATAAAAATATATATACAGCTCATGGCATGTCATCAATATCCGTAAGTTATAGATAGGATTATCAATGAAAGAATAAAGACTGATCTAGAGTATTTGACACTCGTGGTGGATCTTTAACAATAAAACGCCTATAGAACAAACAGCAAGTTGTTTATAGCTCAAAATGCTATGAATTAAAAAAAAAATTCAAGTTATAATAACAAAATAATCCTCTTCAGTAATAAATACAAAAAATAAAAGAGAAAGTTATAACAACGGCCAGAAAGAAATACATTTGGACTTCCTTGTCAGCAGTGAAGTTCCTTCTTACATTGGTGGTCATTGGGAAGACAGATCTAAAGATCATTGGTGGTATGCCACTGGATGTTGGCCCTAGAACTATGCAAGCAATTGGAATCCACCAAGGGATGTTGACCCTAGAACTATGCAGGCAGTTGGGATCCACCAAGGGATGTTGGCCCTAGAACTAAGCAGGCAGTTGGGATCCACCAAGGGATGTTGGCCCTAGGACTATGCAGGAAGTTGGGATCCACCAAGGGATGTTGGCCATAGAACTATTCAGGCAGTTGGGATCCACCAAGGGATGTTGGCCATAGAACTATGGAGGCAGTTGGTATCCACCAAGGTGTGTTGGCTCTAGAACTATGTAGGAAGTTGGTATCCACCAAGAGATGTTGGCCCTAGAACTATGCAGGCAATTGGGATCCACCAAGAGATGTTTGCCCTAGAACTATGCAGGCAGTTGGGATCCACCAAGGGATGTTGGCCCTAAAACTATGCAGGCAGTTGGGATCCACCAAAGGATGTTGGCCATAGAACTATGCAGGCAGTTGGGATCCACCAAGGGATGTTGGCCCTAGAACTATGCAGGCAGTTGGGATCCACCAAAGGATGTTGGCCATAGAACTATGCAGGCAGTTGGGATGCAGAAAGGTCGGTCAGTCTGCAACTGCTCAAGGAACCCTTAACAACCTCCAAAGGAACCCTAGAGTTCCACAGAACCCTGGTTGAGAATGGTTGGTTTAGAATGTCCCTGTAATGTGTTTTATATATTTTTTGCATTTAATTAAGAGCTGTTAATCATAAGGATTGATTTTTGCAAGGTCAGTTCGGTGGAAGCACCCTCAACGAAATGCAGAGTGAACACTTTTTAAAACAGCAGTCTCTATACATTGATCATTCATCAGCTGAACTGAATATACTTAAGAAAAATGCAAATACACTTGCAACACAGATCTATATGCCCGAATACTTAATGTTGATGTCAGGTGGACACATTTTAGACTGGAAGCACATTGGTGATAATGTAACACTTGCAACTGTTTTTACTACAGGCTACTCTGCTGGCATGCTGCGTTTTCTGCACTGGTGGACTGCGCTTAAAAAAGAAGAGAACATCCCTGGGGGTTTTTTTTTCACATGTGGCAAGACCACGGAGTCCTCACACTTTTTAAATCAAAGTGCCGAAACCTCCTACATGATTTAGGGTTGCGGACACCTAACCATCACACCTATATGGACTTGGTGGACATCCCACAGCAGAACCATGGGCAATAACATGGAGTTGGTCGTTCCCACCCTCAATAATAGGGAGTTGGCTCCCTTTGCACTTATAACATCCTTCACTCTTCTAGAAGGCATCCACAAGATTTTGGAGGGTGTCTGTGGGAATTTGTGCCCATTTGTGAGGTGAGGTACTGATGTTGGATGAGAAGACCTGGCTCACAATCACCGTTCCAATTAATCCCAAAGGTGTTCAGTAGGTTGCAGTCAGGGCTCTGTGTAGGACACTTGAGTTCCTCCACACCAAACTGGTCAAACCATGTCTTGGAGGGAGGCTACTTTTGTTCCCCATGTGTATTTAAAGTAGTCACCACTCCAAGCTTACTCCCAGAATGGACTACAATCTCAGTACAAATTAGTAAACTAAACATGAGACTGTAGTCAGTGGCGGAACAATCCACATAGCAACCCAGGCGGCCGCTATGGGGCCCGGGGCACAGGGGGGCCCCATGTGCGGTCCGCCTGGGTCGCTATGGCATCTCAGGCTGCTGGCTGTCACTGGCGGCTGTGAGGAGGAACACGCCGCTGTTCAGATCACTAACAACCAGTTAGTGACAGCCAGCAGCTGCGTAGAAGGCCATGTGCACTAGCTCCATCTGCTGTACATCTCCTACTGGCAGTCACCGGATGTGACCTGCCCAGTCGGAGAGCTTGACAAGTCGAAGCTTTTCGATAGAACACCAGCGTCGGCAGTGAAGGAGGAGGTGGGGCCCAGCAACGGAGGAGGCGGAGAGTGATTGGGGCTTACAGGTAAGAGGGTTTGGCCAACCCACCTGAGACCCTGCAGAGCCCACCATAGAAAGTATATGGTGGGCTCCGCAGGGTCACTCTCAGGTGGGTTGTTTGGGATATCAGGTGGGTGTAACTAGAAATCACAGGGCCCCAGACAAAATGTTGCTATGGGGCCCTGTGATTTCTAGTTACGCCCCTGACTGTAGTCCATCACGGGAGCGAGCTTGGAGCGGGGACTACTTTACAACACACACAGGGACCATGGGGAACAGACGTAGCCTCCCTCCAGAAGGAAGGACAGTGTCAGCACCAACTCAGAGATGATTGGAGGATCTACAGCCGAGTGATACACAAATAAGATACATTGTTGTTCACAGTAAAGGGACTTGAATGTATTTTTAAGATTTAACTCCCAACTTTAGTGTCACTTTAAGATTGTGAAAACTGAAGCTTTGTCTTATTTTTATGAATATATACCCTGAAGAAGTACTCCACTGAACAACATTCTAAAATGGCCATATAACCTAAACAAAATATACATTTCCAAAGCTACAACTCTCTGTTGAAACAAAAAAAAAAAGAGAGCTTGGAGCGGTGACTACTTTACAACACACACAGGGACCATGGGGAACAGACGTAGCCTCCCTCCAGAAGGAAGGACAGTGTCAGCACCAACTCAGAGATGATTGGAGGATCTACAGCCGAGTGATACACAAATAAGATACATTGTTGTTCACAGTAAAGGGACTTGAATGTATTTTTAAGATTTAACTCCCAACTTTAGTGTCACTTTAAGATTGTGAAAACTGAAGCTTTGTCTTATTTTTATGAATATATACCCTGAAGAAGTACTCCACTGAACAACATTCTAAAATGGCCATATAACCTAAACAAAATATACATTTCCAAAGCTACAACTCTCTGTTGAAACAAAAAAAAAAAGTATTATGCACTCATGCCGCTAACTGCCAGGCACATGTGGAAGAATGTAAATTGTTGCTCCCGTGTGTGGTCATTCTTAACATATTACAGGGAAACCTTAGACCAAAAAGAAAAGAAAAAATCCCGTCAGATCCCAGAGTTTCTAATGGCTGCCATTTTGTTTTTTTTTTTTTTTACAAAATATCTTGCTTTCATGTAAGGCTGGTGTAACAAAGTGCCACTTTTTATACATATCGGGTGAAGCTCAACAGATCACATCAGCTCGGGACCTCCATGATTTTTGATTGTTTAAAACAAAGATATGAGATGAGGAACATGAGGAGCTTAACTGTCTTCTCCAACCGGCTACGACAAAAATGGACGGCAGCCTTGCCTTAAGTTAAGCCAATGTTTACGTGAAACCTTTTTTTTTTTTTTACCTTGATAAAGGCCTTGTGAGTCATCTGCAACAGGAGCCTTACTCAGGGTTTATAACATATCTGATATCCTAGAGCTTAACCGCTAGAAGGTGAGAACGTGAAGCTTTTCTAAAAAGGTCCTTCTAGAAAAATGAGCGCCCTTATTAGTGCTTTACTTCCCAGAGGAACGGGAACGTGACTAAAGCTTATATGCATATTGGAAAACTCCGCTTCCCTGTTTCCAAAAGGAAATTACTTAGACCGATCTTCGTCAAAGACGGTAGGAGCCATGTTCTCACGGCCCGCAAAGCAAGGTCCCTATCTACTCTTTGATCACAAACATCACGATCTCCTGTATTCTAGAAAGGGTCAGAACTTCAACTCAATGTCCATAACAAACCTCGGACAACCTAAACCGTCAGCAAGGTCCATAATAAATTATTTGTGTCGTCTTGACAGGTGACATTGTCTACTAGTCACCGTTGGCACAAGACTGGGACGCCACTTGCTACCTAAAGCTTAGGCATGCGCTTGGTTCACTGTCCAAAGGGAACTACCATTTCCTCAACACACTGCCAACAAGACCTTCATAGTCTACCAAAAAGCCCCGTCTTCAACATGATATCCATAAGGTAAGGTTTTCCCAGCTCTGGAACTGTTAAGCTCCTGTAATATCTGTCCATAAAGGATAAAGATTTATTAATGTTCATCTCCTTTATATAATCTTCATAAAATATTAAGGCTTTCTGTGTCCCTATTTCTAAAAGGTTACTTTATTCAGAATATCTCAAAGAGGGGGGACTGCCGCTAAATGACCCATAAAGGATGGATGTCTTCTACTCATTGCCCATATAAAGTGGAGGACTTTTTTTTTTTTTTTTTACCCTTCAACCCTTTCAAGAACTCCTCAACCCCTCAAGAACTCTTCCACCTACTGCCCGTACAAAGTCTCTTTCTCACAATTTTATATACTTCTAAGTCTAAGAACCGTGGCAGGTCCACCTCAATTGTATCAGGTACAATCAATGAATCAAGTATCTCCTTGAACGGCCACTTTGATTTTTTTATCAGCTGACAGTCCAAAGACATTCCTGGAATGAAAATGGAAATGCCTGGTGCAAGTCAAGAATTATTGACTGGCTTAAACTTAGGGGTTTCATACCAGTGAAATGTCATCAAACCCATGAGTAAAACCACCAGCCAAAGATGACAAATTTAAAACCTTTCCCACAAACCGTGTTTTTTTTTTTTTTTTGTTTGAATGATCAAGATCCTCCAAAGTCCATTTTCAAAAAAAAAAAGTCTTGTCCCCCCGCACCCACTGAAGCCTACACCGACTTTTTCTCAAAGGGTCCAGAAAAATGGCATTGATGATTGGTCTTGCGGAACTTGCGACGCCGTCTAGCTGGGTTCAGGTTGTGTGACATAGAAATAGATTACAATCTATAAAATATTATAGTCCTGGGTAATTATTCGTTACGTAAGGAGAGGAAGGACAGAAAAGATTTGAATGACACCTGCAGCATTTTACAGCAAAAAACGTAGATATCTACATCATGTTAACCTTAAAAAACTCTATAAAACACTAGATATTAATAATAAAAAATATGCATATACGGCATGTAAACTGCTTTGGTAACATCGTATTCCAGATGTCGTCAGTGCATAAGAATCCTCCCCCAGGAGAGGAGAGGAGGAAGCTCAAAAAGCTGAGGGCTATCTCCGGATATTCCTACGGAGCCATCGCTGCGTGGAGGATAATCGCGGTCCACCGTCCGAGAGTAAATAGGGAGTCTCTGGGGGATGTGGCAGGCTCGAGGTCATAAACTGGAGCGCGCAGTGAGGGAGATCATTAAGGTGCTGATGGCAGATAAAGTGCAGGCATTTGACGTGGAAGCACCTGATCCTTGTGCGTAGGCATCTGGAAGACAATGAAAATGGAGAAAAGCTGTTTGTACGGTACCACTGAGGATGAGATATCCGCTACATAGTTACATAGTTACATAGTATTTGAGGTTGAATAAAGACATACGTCCATCAAGTCCAACCCATTAGGATCTCATTCTAGGAGTACCTGTACCCCTGTATATTACCTGTACCCCTGTATATTACCTGTACCCCTGTATATTATGGTCCTTTAAGAAATCGTCCAAAAGTTTCTTGAACAATTCCACATTATTCGCTGAAATCACTGTCTGTGGCAGTGAGTTCCGGACCCTAACTGATCTTACTGTGAAGAACCCCCTTCGCCCCTTGTGCTGGAATTTTTTTTTCCCACCAATTTTAGGTGGTGGCCTCTAGTTTTTGTAATGGAGTTAATTTTAAACAGTTTATCGCTAATGTTGCTACCACCATTGAACATTTTGTACATGGAGATCATATCCCCCCTTAATCTCCTCACCTCCAATGTGAACATGTGAACACGTGAAGCTGGCGCTAGTGATGTAAACAACCTGAACACAACTCATTATCAAAATGTCAAGTACAGGGTTGGTTGTGAGACCTTGTATCTATGCACTCTGCCCACCTATGGCCTACCTAGGCCTTTTGGAATTGGAAGTCCAATGGCCTATGACCTGAGATGGCACATAGGTTAAATCAAAGCAGTCTCTATTATTTCGGTTACATGGCCCAACAGCTCAGGGGGTGCATGATGGGGAACAAAAGACACATCAACCTCAACTTGTCATGTCAAAAGATAAAGTATCCAAGCAGCATTAGCATGCATCACAAATTTTGGTTTAAGGAAATGTATATAATAGGGATGCACCGATACCAAGTTCCGTACTCAGTACAAGTACAAGTACAGATACTTTTCCGGCTCCAAGACTAGACTAGAGAAAAATTCTAAAGTTAGGAGGCGGCTGCCATTTGTAAGGAGCACACGGAGCTCCCGGGATTTGTACATCTCTGTTTTATTGTATGATTTTGTTTTTATAAATATAAATAGAGTGACGCACCAATACCAGTTTTGCGAGTACAAGTACTGATGCATTTTTGTTTATTGTCATGTGACAGTTTTACTAAAACAATATCGACTAATGATTTCAGGGCAGTGGTGGAGCCCCAGAGCCAGGTCCCAGCTGCAACCACTGCAACCCTGGTAGTTCTCATGAAAATGCCAAGTATCGGCATCGGTACTCGAAAAGTATCGGTGCATCCCTAGTAAATAACAATATGTCTACCTTTGTTAGGAAGTAATATGTTTGCTAAATGTATTGCTTGAAAATACCATAAGTCTGTATAGTGGGACTAGCACACTCTTGTAACCAGTGTTAATAAAGCTTGAAAAAAAGTACATCATCCCTGTCCATTAACACTTCTGCATCCCGGTCAAACCCCCACATACGCAGCCATATACATAGGACGCAGAGGAAAATGGAAGAGATATGAAAAAAAGATCAAATTAAATCTGTGTCTTGGGTTACATTGTAACAAATACACAGAAGTCCAAGAGTTAAATATTTACCCAATTGGGTAGCAGCCTTCAATGATATACATAAATCTTGTCATAGGAAAGTACATAGCAGGTGAAACAAAGGGTGAAAACATACATACAAAGATTAAACGCTTCGGAGAAAAATTTAGTAAAAAAAATGTTTCTCCTGAAAGGTTCCATGTGAGTTTGATAAAAGATAAACAAATTCAGGGCTTTAACCCTCAGGCGCAAATACAATTTGAGGGTCAGACTATCATGGTGGATTTATAGATTTTTTCAATACTTGCTAAGCGGCCATAACGTAGGCTAAAGGTGGCCATACACTCTACAACCATCTCAAGACCTTAGTCTTGCGATGGTTGTAAAGGGATTAAAAAAACATACGATCTGCCTATCTTGGACAGGCAGATCGCACTCTCGATCATCGCAAGCCCGCCCCCCTGAGGGGCGGGCTTCCGATGACCGCAATGCTGAACGGGCAGTGTGCGCGTGCACACCGGCCCGTTCGGCATTTGTCTTCCGAGCACCGTTCTAACCAGCCGAGAATCGTACGATTCCCGGCTGGTTTTCGAACATGCTGGTTCGACGGAAGACGTGCGACCGTACAGTAGAAACGTTCACACTGCTCGATTCTCGTACGATCGCGGGATTTCCCGCGATTCTCGTACGAGAATCGAGCAGTGTATGGGCACCTTTAAAGTAGCTAAGTATATTTGAAATGAAGCATTAAGGTGCCCATACACTGCTCGATTCTCGTACGAGAATCGCGGGAAATCCCGCGATCGTACGAGAATCGAGCAGTGTGAACGGAGACGTGCGACCGTTTCTACTGTACGGTCGCACGTCTTCCGTCGAACCAGCATGTTCGAAAACCAGCCGGGAATCGTACGATTCTTGGCTGGTTAGAACGGTGCTCGGAAGACAAATGCCGAACGGGCCGGTGTGCACGCGCACACTGCCCGTTCAGCATTGCGGTCATCGGAAGCCCGCCCCTCAGGGGGGCGTGGCTTGCGATGATCAAGAGTGCGATCTGCCTGTCCAAGATAGGCAGATCGTACGTTTTTTTAATCCCTTTACAACCATCGCAAGACTAAGGTCTTGCGATGGTTGTAGAGTGTATGGCCACCTTAAGACTATATCTACCCTTACTTATGTGCAGTATATGTTCCTACAATCCTGAACTCAGATTAAAAATATCATTTTATTTTTGGCGCGCTCTTCATCTACGCGGTGGTAGAATGATGGCCAAGTGCCACCCACAGCAGGAGTCCAGGAAACGTGAGACAACCTGCCGCTCAAAGGATGTTATTTGTGGATACATACAGTGACAGATGTAATGCTGTTACAAGGCACAGGCATCAACACATGTTAGCAGGAGGATTGGTGCTTCTTTTTAAACTTGTTTTTTTAATGTTTTTCACTTGAATATATTATCCCAGGAGCTTTGAGAACTTCTTCTGTCAATGGTATTACCCTGCTGTCAGAAATGTCCCATTGCTGGATCCATTTTCCTTCATGATGTAATGGTTACTGTACATGGGATCCAGCCTGTGTCTTCTCTCCGGGGGGCGCAGCTACTCCCAATTCCAGATTTCTACTGGAGAGGTGGTGCTGTGACCAATCAGGAGGCAGCAAACCGGGTTGGCATTAACTTCAATGAAGAAGCGATGCATGGCTTGGAGCTCAAGCAACATGTCACTACATCTAAGCCGAGCCTGGTGGCTCCAAAGCCTCACTGCACTCTGAGTTTCCGTCCCCTCTCTGCCTCCAGTTCCAGTGTTTCACCGTCACTTGTGCGTACTCCTGTGTATCCAGTGTGCACCTCTACAAATATACCCTGGTGTCTCCAGTATGTCTCTGCATCCCCTATGCCTCCAGTCGCCTCCATGACTTCTGAGTCTCCATGCAGCTTCCAACATGCTCTGCTGCTTCCCTCCACCGACAGTACCCTCCACTGTCTCTGCTCTTGCTATCATTAGGATTGTCTTTCTCACAATTAATATGGCCCCCTGTTTGTGACACATGTGCCAACCTCTTTCCCTTTAAGACTCAATAGGGGCTCAGTGGTTAACACTCCTTGGATAATTTCCCACCAATGCATTATCAGATCTGTTTGTATGTTCTCTCTGACCTGAGCCTCCATGGTTGAAAGAACTGAAACGCAATGAATGAAAGATGTGGGCCAGGGACAGTCAAGCTGGAGAGGAAAGAATTAGGTGATGCTGGATGTCCTCCAACCAGCACATGAGGTGGGCTCTATCTGACTTGCTGCACATTGTGAAAAGCTCACAGTGTGCAGTGAAATCAGAGGAAGCCATTTCAGTCCAGGAGAGCAGCCGGTACAACTGTGCAAAACTGAAGGGAAGAATGGAGGTCAGATATAAGACTGAAGGGAAGGACGGAGGTCAGGTATAAGACTGAAGGGAAGGACGGAGGTCAGATAGAAGACTGAAGGGAAGGGCGGAGGTCATATAGAGGAGTGAAGGGAAGGACGGAGGTCACATAGAAGACTGAAGGGAAGGACGGAGGTCATATAGAAGACTAAAGGGAAGGACGGAGGTCAGATAGAAGAATGAAGGGAAGGACGGAGGTCAGATAGAAGACTGAAGGGGAGGGCGGAGGTCAGATAGAAGACTGAAGGGGGAGGACGGAGGTCAGATAGAAGACTGAAGGGAAGGACGGAGGTCAGATTGAAGACTGAAGGGAAGGACGGAGGTCAGATAGAAGACTGAAGGGAAGGACGGAGGTCAGATATAAGACTGAAGGGAAGGACGGAGGTCAGATATGAGACGGAAGGGAAGGATGGAGGTCAGATAGAAGACTGAAGGGGAGGACGGAGGTCAGATAGAAGACTGAAGGAAAGGATGGAGGTCAGATAGAAGACTGAAGGGAAGGATGGAGGTCAGATAGAAGACTGAAGGAAAGGATGGAGGTCAGATACAAGACTGAAGGGAAAGCATGCTCTTGATTTCAAGTACATGGATAAGTGATGACAGAAGATCTGTGGAATGAGAAGGACCATGAACTGGGGACTCAGAGATTGGAGATGGATCTAGCAATTTCTAGCTGCGCCCCCACAAATCGTCATGGCGATGTGCGACAGAGACTCTTTCATAATCTTCTGACACACTGATACATTCCAGTGCACCAATGTGGCCTAAACTGGCAACAATTAAAATGCACCAGAATTATTTATTTATTTTTTAATTTCGTTTTTTTTATCTCTCACCGACCACTCACTGGATATCCGAGGAATGCGGATTGGTTCGCTGCTTCTGCCCTCTCCTCCGTCGCTGATTGGTCGGATCTCAATGACGTAATCCTCATCGTAGGGAAGAGAAAGTTCCACTGAGGTCTGATTGGTCTCGATCATGGTGGCTCCAGCCTGGCGGTTCCACCGATAGAAGACCTACAAGCATGAGAAAATTAGTGACACTGGAGAAAAATTATAAAAATATTCCCCACGTTCTCGCTAAATCCCTATAGATGCCATTCTGCTTATTTTATGAATGGCCCAGAAACTAATCCTCTCAAAAATGCAGGCTGTGTTCCTTGGTTTGAGCACGGCCCCCACCATGAGTCCAGCAAGTCACCTCCACAGTACTTGGAACTGTTCTCCAAGGTCACAAGTGGCGGCTTCCCCACTGTACAGTTGGCCCTGCTTGCCCAAAGCAGGGCTAAATGTAGAGATCAACTACCTGCCCGATACCCGGAACTGCATATACTGGTGGCGTTGGGAGATAGGAATTCCACACCCCTGCTGCCCCTTTACTCCCTGCTGCCCCAAGGCCGGGCCTCGGTTGGCCTTGTGGGAAATCCGGCCCTGCATCTAACCATGATGGCTGCTCAAAATAAAGAGGGTGACAACACTTTTTCTAAAGCTGCAGCTCTCCAGACTTTGTTCCACTGCTCCGCCTCCTGACTTTTCATGGCATTGCTAATAAGCATAACAGGGGCATATTGGGTGCTTAAAGGAAAAAGAAAACAGGAGCTCTCTGTCATATTGTCCACCTAAATACTACTCCTTCCCACTCATCAAGGTTCAGTCCAGAAACTCTTTAAGTCTGATTTCTGCTATTAGCTGCTGTGCAATCTCAATATGAAGATGGATTCCAGGTAAATCCAGCAGCTGAGTTTAAAAATGTATTGGGGGCACGGGTCTGGCAAAGCTGATATGTTCAACAAACCATTGAGGAACATGGGGAGCAATAGTTTACAGGTGGAGATTACCATCTGCACTTACTCTGTACCCTTTCACCTCGGACTCGTCTTCCTGCGCAGTCACCTGATCCCAGTTCAGGATAATCTTGGAGTTTGAAGAGTTCCAGACGATGTTTCCTGGAGGCTGACTTGGAGCTGCAACAGTAAAAAACGCTTTTCCTATTGGTTTCAAAGGAAGAAGTCACAGACATCGACAATAAAAAGGGGTTAGGGGTGAGGTCTGAATTGAATTTAGAAAGCTGGGAAACATAGAACCATAGGGGAGTGACGGCAGAAAAAGACCAAGTGGCCCATGGGGTCTGCACCTTGCATTGGATGTTTTTCTTTTATACATTTTGTGTATAGATCTAGGTTTGCCCCAGGCATGTTTAAACTCCCTTTCTGTTGACCGATTCACTACATCTGCTGGAAGTCTGTTCCAACCATCAACTACCGTATATACTCGAGTATAAGCCGTCCCGAATATAAGCCGAGGTACCTAATTTTAGCAAAAAAAACTGGGAAAAAGTATTGACCCGAAACACTCTTGAGCTCTCCTCAGGCAAGTTTGAAGTCATGTCCCCATGTTCTTGATCTCAGCTTCATTTTGAAAATACTGCCCTCCAAAACCTTGTGCACACCCTTTCCCTTCATTCCTCAATAAATAAAGATCTATATAGAGGAATCAGGACCTCCTTCCTCCTGCTGGGGATCCCTCTAGTGATAATAAAGATCTATATAGAGGAATCAGGACCTCCTTCCTCCTGCTGGGGATCCCTCTAGTGATAATAAAGATCTATATAGAGGAATCAGGACCTCCTTCCTCCTGCTGGGGATCCCTCTAGTGATAATAAAGATCTATATAGAGGAATCAGGACCTCCTTCCTCCTGCTGGGGATCCCTCTAGTGATAATAAAGATCTATATAGAGGAATCAGGACCTCCTTCCTCCTGCTGGGGATCCCTCTAGTGATAATAAAGATCTATATAGAGGAATCAGGACCTCCTTCCTCCTGCTGGGGATCCCTCTAGTGATAATAAAGATCTATATAGAGGAATCAGGACCTCCTTCCTCCTGCTGGGGATCCCTCTAGTGATAATAAAGATCTATATAGAGGAATCAGGACCTCCTTCCTCCTGCTGGGGATCCCTCTAGTGATAATAAAGATCTATATAGAGGAATCAGGACCTCCTTCCTCCTGCTGGGGACCCCTCTAGTGATAATAAATATCTATATAGAGGAATCAGGACCTCCTTCCGCCTCCTGGGGATCTCTCTAGTCAGTGGCGTAACAATAGCCATAGAGACCCAGGCGGCCGCTATGGGGCCCGGGCAAAGGGGGGCCCGCCCAGGGCCGCTATGGCATGTGGGGGTGCTGGCTGTCACTGACACAGCTCAGCAGCGGCCGCGCCAACTAGCAATCACAGGGCCCCATACAAAATTTTGCTATGGGGCCCTGTGATTTCTAGTTACGCCCCTGCCTCTAGTGATAACTAAAGATCTATATAGAGGAATCAGGACCTCCTTCCTCCTGCTGGGGACCCCTCTAGTGATAAATAAAGATCTATATAGAGGAATCAGGACCTCCTTCCTCCTGCTGGATACCCCTCTATAGTGATAGGAGAGAGTGAGAGTGAAAGAAAGACAGAAAGGTGGATTAGAAATGTATTTGAATAATCACTGACAGGTCTCTGAACTGTTTTTTGGGAGTCAACATCAACCTTTCTGCTGTTACTGAATCTCATCAATGAACATATAAGAAAAAAAATCAAATCTGATACCAAATTATCTCAGGCCCTCGGGAAGTACAGACACTGGACTTCCAGGTAAAGAAGAAGAAGAATTTAGTGTCTGATAACTCACGTGGCTTTCTGGTGGTCACATTGGCCGTAGGGCTGGCAGGGCCGGTGCCCGCACTGTTGTATGCCCGTACATTTAGGTAATAGAGCGTGTGCCCTTGTAGATGGCTGAGTTTGGTGGATGTTTGGTTTCCCAGAGTTCGTAGTTTGCGTGCGCTCTGCTCCTTCTCGTTCTGCTTCCAAAAACGGACCTGGGTGACAAGTGAAGAGTTTCTGGTGTCAATAATGAGCCAGCGGTTGGGACTGGTTATTGGGGGCAAAACTGGGTGAAGGTCCTCACCTCATATCCCTGGATCCTCCCCTTGCTAAGGCTACTCGGTACTGGAATCCATGACACCTCGATGTCCCAGGCAGTCAGGCTCCGGGCCACTACCCCTGCGGGGGCCCGATTTGGCTCTACACAAGAGATCAGTATATATGTATCAGTGATAATACTCAACGATCAGATGATACATTGTTAGTTCATGAGAACGTAGAGCAAAGCCTATAGAGAAGTACCCAATATTCCAACAAACTCTCCACTAAACTCAGATTGATACAATGTCATCAACATGATCTCAGAAATGTAACATTTGTATAACAGCCAACACTCCATTGTTACTGTCCTTTCCTAAACTCTAATGGTCATCAGTGATGGTGAGATGTCTTCATGGTGTGTATCTGATAACTGATATTGCAGTTATTGGCTATTGTTGGAGTATTATATCATCTAAGGCTTATTTATAATTCACACACTGCTTCCCAGCTCCTGAGTGTGCAGCCTGTGAGCTCAGGAAGTCAACAGGACTGCAGCTGCAGCCATCAGACTTTAAATGACCCCTGAACTCTGACCCTTGTCCAGTTCCAGTCATGGATACCCCAATATTTTAATACCACACAAGCTCAATACACACAAGCGCACAGGGCTGTGTTTGCGGGCTTGAAGGTGGGCAGACCACAAGTTGAGGCATTATAATCATTGGATGCAAATGACACCCGCTACACACGTCTATGAGACCTCAGAAAGCAGAAGTCGAGACATTCATGGCAGACAGGGCTGAGTTAGACAAACAAAGGAATAGAGGGGCAAATAAGAGAGGCAGACATAGAAAAAAACGTAATTTAATCAAAGACGGGGCAAATCAGACAGCCAAAGAAGGGTAAGTCAGGCAAACAATGGCTGGGAGGGTCAAATGAGTCAATGGTCAGACTATAATAACGTGGGGCAAAACTAACCAACATCCGGTCACAGTGAAGAGGAACTCAACAGCCCTTCCGAGATATCTGCTCTGAAAACAACCTTTCCCAGCCAACCAGCCAATCACAGCTCAGCTCTGCTATCCTTAAAAGAGTAGACCACTTACCTTCCTCAGCAGTGTAGACCACAGTCAGGGGGCTGAAGGGCCCCTCTCCCCTGTTGTTGAACACACCGACCTTCACCTCGTATGGAGAGAAAGACGGCAGGCTCTCATTCCTGTAGACGTAGCGCGCGGCATCCGCTGAAGCTACAACGGTCTGCATCCAGCTGATCGTTCCAAAGGGCCGAAAAGCCACCACGTAACCAAAACCCCCACCGTTCTGGTATTCCTCAGGGACCGGCTAGAAGCAAAATTATTTGGAGGGTTAGTAGGAATACAGGTCTCATTTTCGGCAGCTTAAAGGATAAGAGGCTGAATACATTACTGCATCCCAGGGATCATATAGAGGGCTGGATACATTACTGCATCCCAGGGATCATATAGAGGGCTGGATACATTACTGCATCCCAGGGATCATATAGAGGGCTGGATACATTACTGCATCCCAGGGATCATATAGAGGGCTGGATACATTACTGCATCCCAGGGATCATATAGAGGGCTGGATACATTACTGCATCCCAGGGATCATATAGAGGGCTGGATACATTACTGCATCCCAGGGATCATATAGAGGGCTGGATACATTACTGCATCCCAGGGATCATATAGAGGGCTGGATACATTACTGCATCCCAGGGATCATATAGAGGGCTGGATACATTACTGCATCCCAGGGATCATATAGAGGGCTGGATACATTACTGCATCCCAGGGATCATATAGAGGGCTGGATACATTACTGCATCCCAGGGATCATATAGAGGGCTGGATACATTACTGCATCCCAGGGATCATATAGAGGGCTGGATACATTACTGCATCCCAGGGATCATATAGAGGGCTGGATACATTACTGCATCCCAGGGATCATATAGAGGGCTGGATACATTACTGCATCCCAGGGATCATATAGAGGGCTGGATACATTACTGCATCCCAGGGATCATATAGAGGGCTGGATACATTACTGCATCCCAGGGATCATATAGAGGGCTGGATACATTACTGCATCCCAGGGATCATATAGAGGGCTGGATACATTACTGCATCCCAGGGATCATATAGAGGGCTGGATACATTACTGCATCCCAGGGATCATATAGAGGGCTGGATACATTACTGCATCCCAGGGATCATATAGAGGGCTGGATACATTACTGCATCCCAGGGATCATATAGAGGGCTGGATACATTACTGCATCCCAGGGATCATATAGAGGGCTGGATACATTACTGCATCCCAGGGATCATATAGAGGGCTGGATACATTACTGCATCCCAGGGATCATATAGAGGGCTGGATACATTACTGCATCCCAGGGATCATATAGAGGGCTGGATACATTACTGCATCCCAGGGATCATATAGAGGGCTGGATACATTACTGCATCCCAGGGATCATATAGAGGGCTGGATACATTACTGCATCCCAGGGATCATATAGAGGGCTGGATACATTACTGCATCCCAGGGATCATATAGAGGGCTGGATACATTACTGCATCCCAGGGATCATATAGAGGGCTGGATACATTACTGCATCCCAGGGATCATATAGGGGGATGGATACATTACTGCATCCCAGGGATCATATAGAGGACAGGATACATTACTGCATCCCAGGGATCATATAGAGGGTTAGATACATTACTGCTTCCCAGGGATCATAGAGAGAGCTAGATACATTACTGCATCCCAGGGATCGTATAGAGGGCTGAATACATTACTGCATCCCAGGGATCATATAGAGGGATGGATACATTACTGCATCCCAGGGATCATATAGAGGGCTGGATACATTACTGCATCCCAGGGATCATATAGGGGGATGGATACATTACTGCACCCCAGGCATCATATAGAGGGTTAGATACATTACTGCATCCCAGGGTTCATAGAGAGAACTAGACACATTACTGCATCCCAGGGATCATATAGAAGGCTGGATACATTACTGCATCCCAGGGATCGTATAGAGGGCTGGATACATTACTGCATCCCAGGGATCATATAGAGGGCAGGATACATTACTACATCCCAGGGATCATATAGAGGGATGGATACATTACTGCTTCCCAGGGATCATAGAGAGAGCTGGATACATTACTGCATCCCAGGGATCATATAGAGGGCAGGATACATTAATGCATCCCAGGGATCATATAGGGGGATGGATACATTACTACATCCCAGGGATCATATAGAAGGCTGGATACATTACTGCATCCCAGGGATCATATAGGGGGATGGATACATTACTGCATCCCAGGGATCATATAGAGGGCCAGATACATTACTGCATCCCAGGGATCATATAGAGGGCCAGATACATTACTGCATCCCAGGGTTCATATAGAGGGCTGGATACATTACTGCACCCCGGGTATCCTTTAGAGGGCTGGATACATTACTGCATCCCGGGTATCCTTTAGAGGGCTGGGTGCATTACTGTATCCAAGGGATCATATAGAGGGATGGATACATTACTGCATCCCAGGGATCATATAGAGGGCTGGATACATTACTACATCCCAGGGATCATATAGAGGGCCAGATACATTACTGCTTCCCAGGGATCATAGAGAGAGCCAGATACATTAATGCATCCCAAGGATCATATAGGGGGATGGATACATTACTACATCCCAGGGATCATAGACAGAGCCAGATACATTAATGCATCCCAGGGATCATATAGGGGGATGGATACATTACTACTTCCCAGGGATCATAGAGAGAGCTAGATACATTACTGTATCCCAGGGATCATTTAGGGGGATGGATACATTACTGCATCCCAGGGATCATATAGAAGGCTGGATACATTACTGCATCCCAGGGATCATATAGGGGGATGGATACATTACTGCATCCCAGGGATCATATAGAGGGCCAGATACATTACTGCATCCCAGGGATCATATAGAGGGCAGGATACATTACTACATCCCAGGGTTCATATAGATGGCTGGATACATTACTGCACCCCGGGTATCCTTTAGAGGGCTGGATACATTACTGCACCCCGGGTATCCTTTAGAGGGCTGGATACATTACTGCACCCCAGGTATCTTTTAGAGGGCTGGATACATTACTGCATCTCAGGGATCATATACCTGTAGAGGGCCGGACATATCACTGCATCCCAGGTATCCTATAGAGAGCTGGGTGAATTACTGTATCCAAGGGATCATATGGAGGGATACATTTATGGATACAGAAAAAAACATAATGAATTGATTTCAATATACTTATAGCTCCTGTCACCAGGATATTCTGATACTCTTGCACCTTACAACTTTAGGGCCCGTTCACACTATAGCGTTAAATGCACAGTACCAGACGTTTAGTGCGACACTATAGTGTGAATGGGACAAAGCGATCCTCTCCTTCTTCCAAATGATATTCACGAATGTGATCATTTAATGACATAATCACATAAAGGTAACAAAGAACCAAAGTATGACCTCTTAGGATAGACTGTAACGTGTGGGGGTAGCAGTAACATGTCTCATGCCGCTGTCTTCCAGCTTTATTGGACTTATTGTACAAATTCCGAGTGCACAATATTTTGGAATATTTTGGGGAGGGATTCCATTGTATTACAGCAATCTCCTAAATACAAAAATGATCGCTAACACATCAGCATCACACACACACATCTATCATTTGGTGGAACAACTTACCTCCCACGTGATGACAAGTTCATTCTTGCTGCCACCTCCTCCGCTCACATTGGCTGGAGTCACCTCCGGAACTGAACAGAGACAGAAAATGAGAAAGTCCGATATTACAAATGGGAGGGAAACTAAAGAATAAATGCAAAACCTCTCTAAAGTTCAAGTGCTGGGTGCACTGGGGATCTGGCCGCTTCCGACCTGAGAACAATCAGAGATGAGCTGTCTAAGGTACTAAAGAGTCAGCCCCACCTCTGCAATTACAGGGACCAGGGAGAATGTTGATGTAGCCATGATGGCTTTATCCTGTTACAGGACAATTCAATGAATAGACAGCGCCAGGTCCATGGTTACCACAACAGGGAACTACGAGGAAGGATACAAATGTGTCTACAGATAATCGTCAAATTATTTGTTGTCACCACTAGATGGTAGCAAAGAACTGTACGAGAGAACAGAGACAGAGGGGGGAAGGAGGGGGGACAGGAGAAAAGGAGAAAGAGGGATATACAGAAAAAGGTGAGAGGGAGAGGAAAGAGAAGAGAGATGAAAGAAAGAAAGAAAGATAGAGAGAGAGAGGAAAGAGGGGGGAGAGAGAGAGAGAGAGAGAGAGAGAG